TTAACATATATTGTATTATTTTATTTTTTATTTTTATTATTTATTTGAGAGAGCGAGAGCACAAGCAAGGGAAGCAGCAGGCCGAGGGAGAGAAGCAGGCTCCTTGCTCAGCAGGAGCTCGATCCCAGGACCCTTGGATCATGACCTGAGCCGAAGGCAGATGCTCAGCTGACTGAGCCACCCAGGCGCCCCTCCATTGCCATGTTTACGGCATCTTCGAGTGATACTGTGACTTGTCCTGTTGATTTGACCAAATTTGGTGGCAGGATTCTTTGCACAGACTTGACTTTGTTAATCTTCTTGTGCTGTTTTGGTTTAGAGGTGCCTCCGTGTGGCTCTCATTTCATCAAGTCTGGGATTGCGTGTTTACATGAGGGAGCTGAGGCTGCTTTCTGCTGGATTTTATGGTTATAATCCGTCTGCTCTGACTGCTGTTGGAATCTTTTATGCTTCCCAATTTGCGTGCTTCCTTTGTTCTTCGGTTTGCCATTTGATGGTCAGCTTTGTTAATAGCATTGATTGTGATTTCGAAGGGAAACACTGTAGCTTTCATTTTCCACTGGCCACCTGGAAAACAGGAGCTTTGTGAGCACGCTTCCTCCCGTTTTTATACCTAGCTCATAAAAAACACTTCCTATACCTTTTTGTGGAATTAAAAGAATTTGAGATCTTCAGATATTTGTTCCATACTTCTACCCTCTTTATTGACATAATCCGGTGTGATCAAAATTAAGCTATGATTAATATTTTCTTTTCCTGACCTCTGTAACTTTAAATTTAATTGCAGCTATCACTGCTGCTCTTTTCATGATTCCCCTAAGCAAGAGTTCTTTCTGAGGTTCGACCCTAGATATTTCGGGGGAAATTCCTAGGCATAGTTTGTTGGAAAGGCGCTCATCTGGTAGCATGTCAGAGATTTGCAGGTTTCTGAGGGTCTCCCTGTTGTGTGTCCACCTGGTACAGCATTCCCGGATCTGACCCTTTCCTTCTGGAATCGGTGGAGTTGGTCTCCTGGTTGAGGCATGGATTGTGGTGGAGGAGAGATCTGTAAAGGCTGCATTTTCACTCCTTGGAAAATAACTCGTCTTTCTGGAATTCAGCCAACCAGTTACACTCATGGATCTTTTGCAACCTCAGCCACGGATCTGGGTGCTTCTAACACACTTACAGCTCATTTTTCTGCCTGATGGTTTCTAGCAGGCTCTCTCTCTTTGCATTTAAATTCTTACAACATTATATCTTTTTGGCCATTCATTTGTCCAGGGCCCGTTGATCACTGGATTGAGTGTGGCTTCAGCCGTTTGCTAGGGAGGGTAATCAGTCACTGAAATGCATTAGGTGACGGCAGCCTTATCTACCTTCTGCTACAGATTCATTCTCTGTCGGGGCTTGTCTCCAGCGTTGGCACGAGACGTCCACCCCCACACGCCTCCCTGTGTGTGCCTGCCTGTCTTCCCCACGCTCCCCATCCCTGTCTCTGTTTCCCTCTCTGTCTCTAGCCATGTGTCCCTTGTGCACTCATTGCTAATTAATTCCCGGTCAGAGTGATGGATGGCTTAATTTGCTGTCCTTGGGAGCCCTGTTTTCCCTCGCCTTGCCAGGGACTGGGTGGACCTCCAAGGTGCTGGGCAGTTGGCTCGGTGGGGGGGGGGGGGGGTCTTGGCATAGGAGGCGGGAGCGCTGCACAGCGTTTTGGGGACCAGCGTCCCCAACATGGTGCTTATTGGATCCCTTATCATCCTTGAGTGACCCGGCTAAGCCAGAACCTTCTCAGTTCCACCGTAAAGCCTTCTGAAGCCAAGGGGATCGCAGCTGGATCCAGAAGCCCTGAGAAATGTCTTTGCTGCAGACTCTTGACAGAAGGGGAGATTCTGTCTTGCCCACAGAGCGAAATCTGTGGAAACCCTTTTCCTCCTGCTCTACCCAGAATTCCTCTTCTCATGGCCTCTGAATCTCCCTCTCTCAGTTCCCCCCAGACTCCCTGCTGCCCCCTTCTGCTGAGATGGAGTCTCTGGCATTTTCTTGAGAGGAGCCGGTTGAACTTCTCTGGTTGCTTTTGAGTTTTCTTGCATTTTTTCTGGGTAGCATCACGAAGGCCCAGGAGCCCAAGGAATCCTCGGAGGAGGAGGGAGGGGCAGGGTTGTGTACTGTTCTTCTGTCACACTTTGTCCCTGTCAGTGAGAACATCAGGAACGCCACCACCAGTGAGCGTGCTTATCTCTACCAGCCCCTCACCAGCATCATCTTCACCGTCACCTCCATCACCATCATCCCCACCATCCCCACCATCATCCTCGTCCTCGTCGTCATCATCATCATCATGACCACCACCATCTTCACCATCTTCATCATAGCAGCTACTGTTCACTGAGTACTCGCTACGGGGCAGGCATGGCACTGAGCATGTTACGTACATTCTGTCACTCAGTCCTCCGTATGACCTTGCAGGAGAGATACTAGAGTGACTGCTGTCATGGTCACAGAGGTGAGGAGCTGGTACGTGGTAAAGCCAGGGCTCAAACATCTTCTCTGAATCCATAGCCCGTGTGCCCTGATGCAGGAACTCTACTGTTCCCCGGATGCAGGAGGCACTGGGGTCCCCATTTCCTCCTGCAAGGCAGAGACACCAACCCCAAGTGCCCCCCCAGCTCAGCCCCCCCAACACCCAAGTTCCTCTGTAACCCCTCTCCCATCTGTGCCCCGTCCCTTCCCTCCACAGGTGTACGAGGGCGGGAGCAACGTGGACCAGTTTGTGACACGCTTTCTGCTGAAGGAGACGGCCAATCAGATCCAGTCGCTGCTGAGCTCCGTGGAGAGTGCGGTGGAGGCCATCGAGGAGCAGACCAGCCAGATCCGGTGCGTTCCCGGGACCTCCCTGTGTCACTTGGGGCTGTGTCCGCACACACATACACGGCAGTCTGCTGCTTGCAGGGGCCCTGTGTGCTTGGGGGCTGGGGGGACCTTGGGCAAGGTGCTACACCTCTCTGTGCCTCTATTTCCCCAACTGTAAAGTGGGATGATTCTGTACCTACCTTTTCAATGAGTGTGTGGATGGAATGAGACACTATGTGCAGAAGAATGCTGGGGGTGCGTGCAGGCCGTGCACGGAGAGTTAAGACTTTCCTAGAGTCTGACCGATTTGCCACATCCCTGTACCACTCACTTACGTTATTACCCAAGACTATTCTATTATTTGCCTTGCTTCTGAAAACTGGAAATAATTTCAGGAAACTACATGGTTACCATAACCAGAGAAGTTTCCACATGCCGTCAGTGAAGTAGCTATAAAACCCAGCACCTGCTTTTGCATGGTGTTGGGGAAGCCCGAGGCCTGCCCTGCCTCCATCTGTTAGAAGGAGGGACTGGGGTTGCAAAGAGAGGCCTTGAAGAAAGAGTAGCCCTGAATCCTGACTTTCTCCGCAGGACTGAAAGAGAAGCAAGGTGATTTAAGTGATATCAGGCCATGTTTGCATGTCAAAAAGCCAAGGAAAAGCATCTGTGCCAAGTTGAGACAATTCCCCTCTGCCCCTTCTTTCCAGAACAGCTGATGCATCTGGTGCCGAGGGGACACAGAAACAGGGGACAGGAACCACAGCCATGCATCTGCACAGGCAGAGGCTGGCCGTGGCCAGGGTGGCCGTGACTGTCCCGTGGGGGTTTAAGCACGTGGTGTGTGGCTGGTGAGGGCTGGTCCCAGCCAGATAGGATTGCAAAGGCTGCTCAGGGACGCTGGTGCCAAAATTTGTTTGCTCTGGGTACCCGCGGGCACATTATCTGGGAAATGTCAAATGCAGATCCCCGGCCCCTGAGCGTGCCTGCTGGATTGGAGTCCCTCGTGGCTGAGCCCACAGCTTTGCATCCGTCTGCACTCAGCCTCGTGATTCGGAGGGTCCCCAAATTGAACAGCCCCAGCTATGGAGGCTGACACAGAGACTTCCTTCATATTCTGGTCACTGTCTGGAGTAAAGGCTGCAGGTTTTCTCCTGCTGTAGGACAGGAGTTGGTGGGTGCAGTCGGCGGCCGATTCCCTGCGCTGTGCCAGCCCCATCATGTGTCAGCACGTACACCTGCCCGGCCCCATGCTGGGACCTTCCTTTGGGACCTCGATGGCAGAGGGGGCCCTTCGCGATGGGGAGTCCCATCTCCATATGCACTCCCCCTTCAAACCGCCCCGAATCTCAGCTAATCCGTCCCCTGGCTGCAGGTCCCCTCAGGCTCCCCTGTCCAGGAGCGAAAGCCACTGGTTCAAAGCCCGCGGCCCCTGTGGGACTCCCGCTGCGCACATTTGTGGTCTGAGGGCCACGCTGCGTTTGCTTCCGGTTTGTGGAGCATCGGGATGGACACCTCAAAGTCTCCACCAGCCTTTCCCTCCCCCAAAGACTTGGGGTAGCCCCTGCTGCACAGGAGCGAGGCTTGCTGAGCTTTTGGGGTCGTGGGAGACAGAGTCTGGAACGTACCAAGGCGGAAGGCGGCCCGGGACAGGGCGTGTTGGCGGTGTGCCCAGCGGTGTGTGTGTGTGTCTGGGTGTATTTGTGTGTCTGCGGTGAGTGTTCCAACATCTCTTTGCATGTGGGTGTTTGGCCATTCCCTGAGCATTGGCTGAGTCCCCACTGTTGGGCCCCACACCGTGCTTGGTGAGTCGCGTGTGCCCGCCAGGGCGTGCCGGGCTGTGCACTTGCGTGTACATCCGTGTGCTTGGGCGCAGTGGGCAGGGACAGCACATGGGGCCTGGCCCCTCTCTCTAGGGCCTGGCTGAAGTCGGGAGCACAGATTTCTCTGTGCTGTTCTATGCCCTCTCTGGACTGTGTCTTAGGGCTCCCTTTTTCAGAGAAGGGGGCTGTCTAGCTAGTACAGACCCAGCCTCCCCCTGTCCCAGTGAGGCAGGGAGGGGAAGCTGTCACTTCAGTGGGGTGGGAGCCTGGCTCGGTGTCTGCCCTGGAACGGAACCCCCTGGGCACAGAGCCGGGGCTGTGTCGTCCTAGAATGTAGCGAAGTTCGGATCCCGACTGCCCTCTAGCTGTGTGGTCTTGCTGAAGGCACCTGTCTGTGGGCCTCATTTACTCCTCGGGGAAACCAAGGCCATCATGGCCGCCTCACAGGGATGGGGCTCCACCGGGTCAACTGTGCACATTTCCGCTCACAGCAGGTGCTTAATATTTGCCAAAGCTAAAAGCGGCCAGGGTCCTGCGGCCTCCCTCATGTGTGTGTTTCCTCCACTCACACTGCAGACGGAACCACAGCAAGCCCAGCCACGGCGTGGTGGAGACCTGGTCTGGAAGCGCTGTGCCCCCCCACGCCCCCAACCCCAAGCTGGGGGCCTCAGAACAAGGGAAGAGTCTTCCTTCTGGTGAGAGAGAGTGGCGGCCTGGGGTGGGGAGCCCTGGCGGTGGCCCAGATGTAGCCTGGGCCTCCAGGTGGGACTGGGAGGGCTGAGAGCGCCTCTCCCCTCCCCCAGGCCTCACCCTGCCCACCATCAGCATCTCCGTTCCTTTTTCTTAGTCACTGCGGACCCCAAGGAGGAGGGCCTGGAAGCCCAGATCAGCCGCTTGGCAGAACTAATAGGACGGCTGGAGAGTAAGGTAAGCCCGCCTAGCCCTCGCCCTTCTCCCCTGTCCTCTGCATCCAGTGAGTGTAGGGTTGGGCCTGGAGTCCGGACAGGAGCCAGGGACCTTGGAGAGGGCATCACCCAGGGGGCAAGGGGGGATGGAGAACAAGACTAGGGAGAATATGTCCTTTGCACAAGTCCAAGGAGAGGTGCTGGGGGGTGGGGAGCTGTCCCAGGGCTGGGGGCAGCCCGGAGGGGCGGAGGGGCGTCTCAAAGAGCAGGAAGGAGTCAGCAGGGACATGGAAGGCGAGGGGACAAGGCTTCCTGCAGCTTTGCTCGAAGGTGGGCCTGGCCTGGGCAGGTGATGCCAAAAGGTGGTGGATGAGGGACTGCGACGTCCCAGGGGAGATGAGAAACATCCCGAATGACCAGATACGATTTGGCACGTCCACAGGTAATAGAAAATGGCACAGTCTCTACAGAATCCTGTCTTCAGAGAACATTTCAGCACTCAGTAGGTCCTCAGAGTAGGACCGCATTAGTCTCCCACGGTGGCCATAACCGGTACCACGAGCGGGGCTGAAAACCCAGCCTGGGGTTTGAGCCTAGAAGTCTGAGATGAGGCTGTCCCCTGAGGCCTCTCTTCTGGGCCGTAGACACCGCCTTCTTCCTGTGTCCTCGCTCGGTCCTCCCTCTGTGCGCGTCTGTGTCCTGATCTCCATCTGAGGACAACGGTCAAGTTGGATCAGGGCCCACCCATGGGACCTCATCTTAATTACCTCTTCAGAGGCCCTATTTCGAAACATAGTCCCGTGCTCGGGTGCTGAGGGGTGGGACTTGCACATAGGATTTTGGAGAGGAAATAGGTCAGCCCATAACAATGACCATTTGTTGGCAGAAAGACAACAGGCGGCCTTGAGGTTGACCAATGGGCTCAGGTCTCAGATTGCTATTTGAATCCTGGCTCCAGCACTTGGCTGTGTGACTCTGGGCCAGTGACTTACCCTCTCTGAGCCTCAGATTCCCGCTCTAACCACAGAGAAGTATTCAGGATAGTCCTCCTCCCAGCGTTGTTGTGAGGATTAAAGAAAATGAGGTCTTAATGGCCTAGCCCAGAGCCTGCGTGAGGCGAGCATCTCCTATGAGCAGTTGGTAGCAATCGTTACTCTTCTGATACCAAACCCGGACCCGCGCGCCCTGCCTGCCTGCGGGAGCAGGTAGCTCCCAGCTCTGCGCTTACAGACATTTTACGTGGCTCCTACTCGCTGAATTTTTTACATCTTTGGCAAAAGGGCAAAAAAGTACTTTGATGGGTTTGGGGGTTCTGAGGGATTCGTGGGGGCGGGGCTCCCCACGCAGAGGGAGGCTGAGGCCAGACCTGGAGGGGAGCCTGAAGGAGGCGGCGGCTACCCACCTGCAGGGCGGAGGCCGAGGTGGGATCCCCCTCCCGTTACGCCGGCCGCTGAGTGGGAGCGGTGGGAAAACGGCTCGGCGGGACCCTGAGGCCCGGTTGTCATAACAACTCTGAGCGCCTCCACAGGGAGGTTCTTTGAAGCTTATTTTTAGCACCCGGTCGCCTTAACAACCAGCTGGCTGGAGACCTCAGAGCACCTGGGTGTCCTGGAGACGGGGCGGGGCCCCTCTTGCTGGCCTCTGATTGGTCCAGGCCGCCGGCGGGAGCCAATCCGGTCGGCCGGGGCTTTCCCGGCCCTCCGCCTGCCAACCTGCTCCTGCCCGCTCTGCCTGGGTGGGGCTGATGGGGCGCTGGAGGGGGCGGGGCAGACCCCCCACCCTCGCCGCCATCCTCGCCCTCCGCCCTCCGCCCTCCGCGGCCCTGCTGGCCCGGAGAAGCCAGGGGAACCAGTTGCAGCCCCTGCGTCCAGGGGCCACCTATGCGGTTGTAGAATGACGTGCCAGGCACACCCTGGCCTCCGGTAAAGCTCCTAGCATAGCCGTGTTTCTGAGAATTTCTGCAGGACCGGCTGCAGAAATTACGAGGCCGTTTTGGGCACATGCAAAAGGAGCATGCAGGGCCCCCTGCTCAGACATTCTGAAGTTCAACGTGGTGACTGCACAGGTCACATGCCCCATTACCGCTCGCTGTTTTCCTTAGCCAGCTACGGGTCTCCCACTCGTGCCTCCTCCACGTGTGAGAGGAAGGACCCGGGTCTGTGACTGTGCCGGAGACGCAGGCTGTCCTCGTGGAGGATGGACGGGGATAGGCGCAAAGGCGCCCAAGTTGAAGAAGAATCACAAATTTGTGGCTCAGGAGGAGAGAGACCCTGGCTTCAAACCCAGTCTCCAGCGCTTACCCAGGGCTCTGTGCTCTGGAACAGCGAGAGCATCCATCAGGTGCCCTGTTCTAGACACCGGCTCGGGGTCGTGAGCAGTATGCACGCGGGTCCTGCTTGCTTGGGGCTTACGGTGGGCCAGCACCTACCTCAGCGTGCACAGTTCAGCAAGATGTATTGGCGAAGTGTTTAGTTCAAGGCGTGTGGGAGGCCAGGGCAACAGACCAGCCCATCAGATTCACGAGGCGCCAGGGGTTAGGACTCGGGGTGATTGGTCTGTTGATGGGGAGTCTCAGGGCTGTGGCCAGCAGCTGTGGCAAAACCCAGCATCCTGGACTCGAGACTCAAGCCCCCACTGCTGCCTGTCCCAAGACTACCCTCTCCTGCTAACAGAATGCCCGCTGGGCAGGTCTGGGTGGCCTCTGTGCCTCCCAGTGCTCCCACATGCCAAGGCCAGAAGGGCTGTCTGCCGTCGGTCTCCCAGCCTGGCTTCCCAGCTCCCCGCAGAGCCAGCACGGTGTATGGAGGGTGGACTGGGCCCTGTCCAGCCGCCTGGGGACTCCAGAGCCCCTGGAACCTTGCGGTGGAGAGGCTGCAGCTCTTTGATGGCTCTGGGCACTCTGGTCTCATTGTGGTGGTCCTGGAAGCCTCCCTGGGGGAGGTGGCCTCTGTCTCCAACACGTCTTTGTGCATTGTTGTTTCAGACCCTTTGGTTTGACCTTCAGCAGCGCCTCTCGGATGAAGAAGGCACCAACATGGTGAGGCCTGCTCCCTTCCTGTCCCTTTCCTGTGGCCCCATCCCTGCCTGAGCCCGGACTCGATGCCGGCAGCTCCCTGGCCTTGACACCCCCACCCCGGGACCACCACCAGGGGAGACGCAGCCCCAGCTCCTGGCCACCCAGCCCTCCCAGGGCTGGTTTACTTTTGGACGAAATAGTTGGGCTCAGAGCAAAGTGAGCAGCCCAGTGACCCCAGAACCCGGGTTCAAGCAGAAGTGGAGGTTGCCGGGCGCTGCTGAGGCTGCATCTCGGAGCAGGGAGCCTTGCAGGCAGCTCCCGACGTCCGCAGAGCCTCTTTAAACACCCTTGTTGGCTGTCCTGCGTTGGTGGGGTTACGCAGCTTTGAGCTCTGAAATCCTAGTTTTGTTTTTTTTTTT